CAAACCTGCTCATTGCTCCATTTTTTATATATGCTTCATTTGCCCCATGAAAGATTGGGCATATGCAACAGGCTCAGACTTGTCTCTTCTCACAGTGTTACCAACTTGACATGTCTTATTATTGACACCAGGGATCATAGAATAGGAAGACCTTTACAGGGCTCCAGCCATTTCTAGACATCTAAGTGCTAGCTACAACTTTTAAGTAGTTCAGCCACGCTGCGACAGATCACACAAACACATTTTTTTTTTATTGGAAACTATGCTAAAACAATATCAATAAAAACTTTGTGCTGAATCCATATACTCTCCAGACCAAATATAACCAAACTAGATATACACATAGATAATATACAAATCAGCATCACACTGACTAGCTTTTTCCAGAAACTTATGTGTGCGTAGCCAAGTATCTAAATATTTGGACATATCCAGATGCTTAGTTGAATGAATAAATTAACAAAAAAATATATAGGTAATCAAAAAAAAATATATATAGGTAATCATTATACGCAATGGATTTACATCTAAATGCTTGAACTCGTTTTAGAAATGAAGCTTGCAAAAACAAAACACGAAAACAAACAAAAAGAAATGAAGCTTGCTACACGTCTGTTTGGTCCTGATCCACACAATAAGTGACAATGCTATTTAATTTGCTTAACCGTCACCGTAAACATTGCTTTACTCTTGATCTCACTCTCAGTTGCCTTCAAGATAAACTGCAAGCCCCCCAGTTTGCCATGCAAACTACTTTCCTAGGCCTTCAATCTCATCATCTGCTTGAACCTATGCATACCTCTCTCTGCTCCAGCCAAACAGATGGAGTCATACACATGTTGATATTTGCTGTGCCTTTGCTTATGCTGAACCCACTGCCCACAATGTCCTCATTGGCTCCTCAACTGAGCCACATACCAATATCCCAATCCAGCCAAATTTCCCTCTTTTCCTCAATGGGATTTTATAGTTTCTCACCTGCAATGATGAATTTTTATTTGCCCCCCAAAAAACTTTAGCTTTTGAAAACCCAGGAAGTTTATGGAAGGTGGACTGCGACTCTCACTAGAGACCTTTTTCCCCCACTGGATCTCAGTAAATGACCAACAAGCAACTATTTCTTTCCTTTTATTATCTTTAAGAATTGTGTTTCTCTGCCTTCCCTTACAGGACAGTTGGCGTTAAGACATGGTGTGTTCCTCTCTTATCCAGTACCTGGCATGTAGTTAGTATGTTGTAAATGTTGAATGGATGGATAGATGGCTGGATGGTAGGAAGGATGGGAGGAAGAAAGAAAGGAAGGATGGAGGGAGGGAAGAGGAGAGAGGGAGGAAAGATAGTGTATGAGTGATTATACGAGCACATTTTCTTGCTCATATGGTCCTGGAGAAGAGGTCCATAGGTGAAATGGGAATAACATCTCCATTCACTCAGTGGCTCTGGTCAAAACCCCTAGAGTCAGCCTTGGCTTTTCTCTTTTTTTATGTCACATCAGCAGAACCTTTGGAGTCACTCTTCAAAGCCATTGTAGTCCTACTTTGTGCTACCTCCATTGTGGTCACCATTGGCCAATCCACTATCATCTCTTGCCTAGTTTTTCACCTGCCTCCAAACTGTCCTTTCTGCTTCTGTTTTTTCTTTGTTACAGTCTACCATCAAAAGGGCAGCCACAGGGTGCCTGGGTGGCTCAGTTGGTTCAGTGACTGACTCTTGATTCCATCTCAGGTCATGGTTTTAAGGTCATGGGATCAAGCCCTGGATTCGGGCTATGCACTCAGTGGGAAGTCTTCTTGAGATTCTCTTTCTTCCTCTTCTTCTGTTCCTTCCCCAATGCTGTATCTCTGTCTGTCTGTCTGTCTGTCTCTCTCTCTCTCTCTCTCCCTCTCAAATAAATAAATCTTAAAAAAAAGAAAGCAGCCAGCTCCAATGACTCCCCATATCACTCTGAGTGAAAGTGAAAGATCCTCTTCCACACGCTCTGTGCCCATCTCCATCTCTCAGGCCTTACCTGCTGCTACCTTACCTCTCTCACTCCCCCACTCCAGCCACCCTGCCTCCTTGGCTCCCTTCCTCACTGTCACTCTGTCCCACTGTGGGAAGCTGAATAATGACTCCCAAGTATGTCTGTGTCCTAATTTCCAGAACCCATGAGTGTTGCTTTCTGTGGCAATAGGGACTTTGCAGATGTGATTAAGTTAAGGATCTTAAAATAGAGATTATTCTGTATTATCCAGATGGACCCAAACTAATCACAAGTCTTTTTATAAGACGCAAGAGGAATCAGATCAGAAAAAGGTAGGATGAGGAGAAAAGCAGGAAGAGCCACTGTGATATGATGTGAGCCATGAGCCAAGAATGAGGACAGCCTCTAGAAACTAGAAGAGGGAAAGAAATATATTGTTCCCTGAGCCCCCAGAAAGAACACAGCCCTGCTGACAACTTATTGTTAGCTCCATAAGACTTATTTCAGATTTCTGATCCCCAGAACTAGAAGAGAATAAATTTGTGTTGTTTCAAGCCACAAAGTGTGACCGCAATAGGACATGCTCACACCCATTATTCCATTTTATATTTCTTAAAGGCACTATCACCACCAGGCATATTTTGTAGTTACGTATTTGTCCATCAGTTGTTTTTCCACTACAATGCAAAGTGCAGGGGAGCCAGGACTTTGTTTTCTTCATTGCTGTAAACCAAGGCCTGGCACAATATCTGTTTAATTAAATAAATAAATGATATTTTTTAATTAAGTAATCACCCAACACCGTGAAATGGCTGCACCTCAGTAAAATGTTAGGCAAACCTGCATGATATTCACTGGTTTGCCTAGAACAGCTGAAAATGCATGCAAGTGAGTATGGACTTAGATGCAGCCAAAGTGGTCTACACTGAAACAGCTCAGGGAAAGAATAAACCCCACGACTCCATGGCAAGAAGCCCTGCTAAAAAGATGGTGAGCCATAAAGCCCACTTGATCTCCATCCAAGGTGGGGCATCCAGCATTTTGCCATCCCCCCACCCCAAAGCTGGAAGGAGGAAAGAGCCTGAACGGGTTACCCTCAGACTCTCCACTCCCAAATAAGCAGAGAAGCCCCTGTACTCCTTGCCTTCGTGTATAATTTCCATTCAACACTGAATAAAGAACGGCAGTGGGGATGGGTGGAGGATTGGGAAACATGGATTATGACTGCCATTCTTCTTACTGAGTACTGCTGAGTATCCTTTAAAAAGAGTTCACACATAGGAGCTGAGGTCTATTAGTTAACAATTATGAAAAAAGAATGTAAACCTAAAGAGTTAATTAGCTCCAATATTTGCTTTCGGGAACTACAGATCTTAAATAACGTAGGACCGCACATTACTACCAAGCAGTTTTTCCTGTTGCTAATACCAGCTGGAGACGCCAATATTTCTGTTCCCCCCCCACAAGCACACTTCTGTTTTGTTCAACACCAGTGGCAAGCTAATTTCTGGTGAAATCAATGCTTTGTCAAATTTACAAATGTCTTGATGTGTCCATAGTGATGACGATGATCATAATGACGACCCACCTTGTCTGTTGCATAAAGTTGCATGGACGATTCTGTCCTGAAAAAAATACACCTACCAGTCCTCACCGGGTGTGGGATTTTGTGGGTTATTTTGTTTGTTTGTTTGTTTTTTAACTAATATAACAGTGATGTGGATTTGGAAGTGGAGGGCTGCTTGAATGCACCTGCTTGAATGTCAGTGAGCTCCTCAGTAGAACCTCTCCTGATTCCTTCCTGCACACTTGAGCACTCCCTCCCAGAATACCCACAGCTCTGAGCTCCAGCCTCGAGTTCACCAAAATTAACCATGGGCAAGTCTGTCTCCTGCACCACATCGCTGATTTCTTGACATAAAATCCCGCCCTGTCTTCCATACCCCTTTTCCCCACCAAATGCTCAACATAATATCAGGCAAGTTTTGTCGGGTATCTAAGTATGAGTCAAACACTCTGCTAGGTGCTTTTTAAAGACTTCATGATAGGAGAAAGGAGACACAATTTACACACAAAACATCTAGGGAAAATTACAAAGTAAAAAAATCAATAAATTAGCAAATAAAGTATATTTTATTGGAGTTATTGGAAACCACAAAGGAGAGAAATAAGCATGAACTGAGTGTTTTGTAGGTTTATTTTTATCAAGGAATAGCAGTATTTACTAATATGCCATCTTCATACTAAGAAATGTGTAAGTATGAATATTGTCAGGGAGTGGATGTTGGGAAAAAGTGTTCTGCATTCTTGGTTCATAAAGATGATTTGTCTAGCCCTGAAATGCTTTTTTATGTTTTGATAATATTGTAATAAATAGTCTTTATCACGATGTCAGTATAAAACCAAGATTACCAAAGTTCTGAGTTTATATACCATAAGCATTAACACTGGCTTTTAGTATTTTACTACTACTACAACCAAGATCATATTACTTCATCAGATATTTTAGTTATATTGGTGCCAAAAGGGCAGACTTAGTGACAGAGGTAACGTTTATTAACCATGTATCTGAAGTATCTGTGACCTTGGAAATGCTAAGAAGGAAACCCCAGTGCCTGGCCGACTACTGACTTGACTTCCTCTCACAAGACTTGGTTTCATTTTTGAAAATCAAATTGACAAAAAAAGTTTAACCAGACAGGAAAATGTACTTAACGTCTGTCACACTGTCACAAAGGTAAGGATTTGAACTGCATTTTCTGCTCACTTGTAGGTAAACTCTTAAAAACATGCTTTGCCCTGGTATATAAAGGTCAGTGATTTGACACACAATTTAAATGTGCTTTCCAATTCTTATACCTTTGAGCAGTCCTGAGTGAACTCTGGCATTGACTATTTAACCAGCCTCACTCTTAAATATGTCTTAAGATCCAAGGACCATGACATCATTCATCTTTCCCTGGATGCTCGGAGCAAAAGAAGACCCCAATTATGCCATCTACACCTGCAAGTGTGCCTATCTAGAGATAGCCCTTACCTTCACAAACAGGCTTATCTCAGGGTCCATGGAAGTTGATTGATTTTCTTCCAAACCCTCATTAGCAGAATTCCTGGCGACGAAGGCTCTGCCCTGCTGGATGGTGAAGTTTGCAGGGGAAGGAAGATCTTCCCCCATCATGCCTCCATCCTCTTGGGACTCCTCTGGGCCAGTCTCCTGGTCCTGGGTTGCTGAATGTAATTCTTCCATTGAGATGTCGTGGTCTTCCTGCAGCTCACCTGGTTGAAGATCCTGGGACTCAGGACATACCTCATCAGGCAGGAGGTAATCTGCTGCTTCTGGTTGGGAAGAAGGCAAGCTGTCCTCCTTGCCCCCAGCAACGTAAACTGACACAGAGTCATACTCATGGGTTTCCAGTTCAGTGGCATATACGTGGTTTTCTGTCAGGCATTCATTGATGTTATCATAAGAAGGAAACTCATTTTCTCCTGGATCATCTGGAAGCTCATAGATGCCTTTTCTTTGGACTGTGTCATAGATGTTGTTACTATCTTCATCATTCATGTTCCTGAATCTGATAGATCTTTTGCAGGCAGACCTGAATGAACCAGAAATGAATAAAGGGATAGAGGATCCTCCAGCCCCTTGCAGAGGAATCAACAGGCTTTTGAAACACAGCAACTAGCAACAGCTACCAATGATACGTCTCTAACAATCATTTACCAGAGACTTTCATCGGCAAACCACAAGTCCATTGGATACAAGATAAAGCTTACACACTCAGTTAACTCCTTCACTCCTAAGGATAGTTTCAAGCAGACTCTGGGGTTTTCCTCACTGCCAGTCACTCTGAGATTCTTTGGTCTGGCAAGAGGTTGAATCATCTTCCTGGTACACGTTGAACTTCTGAATATTTAGCCATTTGTCACTAAATTGGGCTCCCTCTTCCAATTGCCTCTAAATGTTGACAACATTCAAGAAGTCCCTGCAGTTGGGCGGAGAACAGTTCTACACAATGGTAGCTCATCTATTACTAGGCTGAATTTATTACATAAAATAATTCTGAGAGTACTGATACATGAGTTGTATATGCTCCAGTTAGGTAATAAATTCCCTTTGCATTTCTTATCTGGAAACACCACCTGGTGATTAAATGGCAGAAGGAAAGAGAGATAAAAGTACCGGTCTATAGTCACATCAGTACAAAGAGCCCAAAATAAAGACCTCAAAGGTTTATGGCTTTGGGTTTTATTTTCCCTCTTAAATCCATGTGATCATCAGAGTCAACAAACCTTCACCAAGATTCTGTTTTGTACAGGATACCAAATAGAGCACAAATCATACATGTTAGAAGATACATTCTCTGTGGTCAAGAGACTTCTATACATGAAAGGCAAGGAAGAAAAACTAAACCCTAATGGGCACAGAATAAACTATTCAAGATGTCCTTAGTGCAACTGCCTCACGTCTGGGATAAGCAGTAAGGAGCTACATACATAAGATTGCCTGTTTGATGTCATCTATGGATGCCACAAATATACAAGTTCTTTGTTTTTAATCTGGTACTCTGTTCTGCTAATTCCTATTTGCCTTCATCACACCATGCACACAGTTCTCTTTGAAGTGACACCTCATATAAATTGTAAAGGGACTTCAATGTCTAGAAATCATGTACAAATTAAGAAGCAATGTGACTGTGGACAAAGCATTCAATGAACATCTTATCAACAAAACTCCATTGTACCCTTAGCTCCACTATTGTATCCAGGAATCTTCTGGAGCAAAGGAGAGCAGAATTTCTACATTCTAGCTTCAGGGATGGCTCAAAGAATAGATGAGTGCAAAGCTGCTAGAGACAGACATTGAAGGCTCTTGATGTTAGCCTTTTATCTTTCGTTGAAATATGAGATTTGATGGGTCCAAATCCCTGATACATTACCATAGGTTCCATAATCAGGTGTGCATAACTCAGGGGAGCCCCACAGCTCAAATCCCACTCATAATGTAAGCTCTGGAGAAAACCTAAAATGACATTTAGTCTAACATTTATTTTATGTCAGGGAAAAGCCTGAAATCTAGAAAGGCTTCACACAGAGAGTGAATGACAGAGCTGATTTCAGTGATGATTTCCTAACCTCCAGCTCAGTGAACTCAGGTACTTGCTCACTCCTAAAGTCATGTTTTCCAACCCATTTTCTTGATCCCTCTTGCCAGGCCCTCACCTGGAGAACCCTTCTTAGATATTCCTTCCCATGAAATGAAAATACTGCTGGTATATTACATATCTGTTTGCATACTGTATGTATATCTGTGTTTCATATGCAGAAAAAGAATAAGCTTTTGGTATCTTAAGAATGTTCATTCTTTTAGGGTCGTCTTGCTCCTTCCAAGAATGCATGCTTTAACTGCTGAAGTACTTCTGGAGTGTAACTCATAATCTGGCACTGGATTACGTTCCATTCTGTATTACTATTACCAAGGAATAATACTCTACAACATGGGAATATATACGCAGCATGCTACTGGGTCCTCACCACGATGACCCAGCCAGGCATTGGAGACTGGTTAAGCTTAGGGCCTAAGATCATGCAGATATTTTATAAATTTGGTCCCCTGTGTCCCACCTCCCTGCATACCTATCATGTTTTGGTTACTGATTATGATATGAAGCCAATCATCCCGTTAAAATATCAGCCAGCTCTGTTCAAACTCCTATAATGGCTCCCATTTCTTTCAATAAAAGTCAAAGTCTTTATGATGACCCACAAGATCCTACAAAATCTGCACCACTTTTCCTGTAACTGCTCCCCACCCTCCTACTCCAGCTTACCGTGTTTCAGATAGTCTGGCTTCGTTGCTGTGCCAGGAACATTCCAGAATGCTCTCTTTACATTGGCCTGAAATACATTTCCCGCTGGGTGTCTACATAATCAATTTTCCAAACTCTCCTTCTAAATCTTGGCTTATACATCATCTACTTGCCAATGAGGCCACTCTGACTGTCCTATTTCAAATGTCAATACATCCAAATCCTATCTGTAACCCCCCCCCATTACTAAAAACCTCACCTGACTTTTAATTTCTTTTTCCATAATACTTATCACCTAATAAGATGTATACATGACATATTTTTGTCTCGTTTATTTTCTGTTTTTTTCCCGCTGGAATGTAAACCCTGTATGGTCACAGCTCTCTACCTGCTTCTTCATCATTACCTCAAACATCTAGAACAGTCGCTGGTATATATTAGATATATTAATATATATCTGTTGAATAAATTTTGATGATCTTCATCCTTTGCTGAACACAAGTTCTATTAGAACAGAGCCCAGGACTATTTTGCCCATCAGTATACATCTAAAATTCAGCAGATGATTGACACACCATTGATGCTTATTAAATATTTGTCTTATAAACAACTAAAGTGGAGGAGATGTATCTAGAATTCATATCCTTTTATTCATGGTCTATTTTTCTTTCTGTATTATGTGTATAAACATTATATTCTCACTATATTTAAATTCTTATAGAAATAAAACTAACATCTGGGTATTCCACAGCACTTTGTATAAAGTAAGTTGGTGGGACACCTTGGTGGCTCAGCAGTTGAACATCTGCCTTCAGCTCAGGGTATGATCCTGGACTCCTGGGATGGAGTCCCACATCAGGCTCCTGGCATGGAGTTTGTTTCTCCTTCTGCCTATGTCCCTACCTCTGTGTGTGTGTGTCTCTTAGGAATATATAAATAAAATCTTAAAAAAAAAAAGGCAACTTGGTTGCTTACTTGTAAAAGAGAGTATATCAATCAATTAATCAGTCAAAAATATTTCGAGGGCTTCATATATATGTTAGGAAAAGAAAGGAAAGAAAACACATTATTTTCTTTCTTTTCCTCACTTTGGTTTTACTTTGCTTTTTTTTTTTTTACCTCAAGATAATTACGATGGATAAATTGGTATTCAGTTTTCTTTCCTAATATATGCATTTAAGACTATTAATTTTCCTCTGTGTACAGCTTTTTCTGCATCCCACAAGATTGTCTATGTTTTATTTTTATGATCATCCATGTCAAAAGGATTTAATTCTTATTTTGGTTCTCTTGGTTTTTGTTTTATGTTTTTAAGGTTATTTTATTAGGTGCACACAGATTCAGAACTGTTATATCATCTTGGTAAATGGGCTATTTCTTCATAGAAAATGCCCTCTTTACCTCTAGTAATATTTTTTGCCTTCTTCTTATATCAACTTTCTTTTAGTTAGTGTTTAAGGATATATTTTCTCAAGTTTTTATTTTCAACTTTTGTGTGTCCTTATATAATAAGCATTAGATAGTTATATTTTTATCCAGACTGTCAGTCTTTGCCTTTAATTTGAGTAGTTGGTCTATATATATTTAATCCAATTGCAATGCATTTAGGTTAGATATATTATAATTTCTATCTTTAAAAATGAGCAAAAAACTTGAATAGAAATTCCCCCATAGGGGCAACTGGGTGACTCAGTGGTTGAGCATCTGCCTTTGGCTCAGTCATAATCCTCGGGTCCTGGGATAGAGTCCTGCATAGTCTCCCTCTGCCTATGTCCCTGCCTCTCTCATGAATAAATAAATAAAATCTTTTTTGAAAAAAGAAATTTCACCAGAAAGTAACATAAGAATGTTATTAAATAAGGTCTTTAAAGAGGGAAATGCAGTTAAATGAAGTAACTTCATACCACTAGAACAGCTAAAATTAAAAGAACTAATAATACCAAGTGTCAGTGAGGACGTACAGCAACCAGAATTCTCATACACTGATGGTGAGAGTATAAATGGTACAACCACTTTGTAAAATTGTTTAGCAGTTTATTATAAAATTAAATATGCACTTACCCTATGACTCCAAAATTCCAGAAAATCTTAGAAATGTATCCAGGAAAAAAATTAATGTGAAAATCATCATAACGGCTTGCATGAGAATGCTTAGAGAACTCTGATTCGTAATCCAAAACACTGAAAGGTTCTAGCAAGAGGAGAATGGACAAACTGTGGTATATTTATGTAATGAATATTACTCAGCAATAACAAAGGAATGAATTACTGATACAGACAACCAAATGGATGAATCTCAGAGACACTATGTTGAGCAAAATATGCCAGACATAAAGGAGTATACTACATGATTCCATATAATTATGCCAACTTAAAAACATACCAAGGGTTACAAGATTTCTAAGAACTCTTTTAATGGGTACCTAAGCAAAATATTTAAGGATCACTTCCATATGAGACGCCGGGGTGGCTCAGTGGTTGAGCATCTGCCTTAGGCTCAGGGCGTGATCCTGGAGTCCTGGGATCAAGTCCACATCGGGCTGCCTGCATGGCGCCTACATCTCCCCTTGCTTATGTCTCTGACTCTCTCTTTCTGTGTCTTTCATGAATAAATAAATAAAATCTTAAAAAAAAAAAAAGGATCACTTCCATAGCTAATGAATAAGAAATGCTCCATGTTAACAATTATCTTAGACTTCTTCCTCTGGGAGTGGAATTTCTTGAGTTACCATCATTAAGTAATGGGAGTTAAAAT